GGCAGCAGTTTCCCTCCCTCCATCAATCGCTCACTTTCTCTCTCTTTGTGAGAATTACAGCAGCAGTCCTACAGATTCAATTTCACAGTGAGTGGTTAGTAGTCATGTGACCTGTACAGACCTGAGCTCAGAGGCTTAGAGCCAGACTGGGGCTAAAACAGAAACACTGTCTGTGTAAATCACAACTGGCAATTTGTGACGCATCACGGTAGTGACAGAGTCAATAAATACCCAGAAACAGTCCAAGATTAAAATCCAGAGATATTAAAATATCTGGTTTTATAAATGGAGGCACTAGCATCACAAGTGCAAGGTCATGACCTTTGATTTAAAATCGCATTTACAAGTTACAATTAATAATTTTAAGGAATTATCAACATAGATGAATATTACTTCAAATATCAGTGTACGAGCCTTTTTTCTAGTCACAGCCTGTAAACAATACACTGGTGTCAGTAAATATGCTTTGTTTACTCACACTGAAGCACACATATATAACTCTAATACGTATTACAAATCAACTAAAGTCTTACATACCAATCAAAATGACTACAAGCCACCTCAGGCAATAATAACACAAGCAAGCAGAAGAAGGTATTTACCCTACCTGAGTCTGCATAGCCTTGAATGGCCTGTGAGTATTTCTCCAGTGCATCTGCAAACTGTCCGTTTTTAAACTGCAGGTTGCCTTCATTCTTCAGCCTCGACAGAGCTGGGGGTAGGGCTCCACATGGGGCATCAAGGTTGACAGTTTCCCCTGCATTTCCTCCAGACAAAGTTCCCCCTTCATTTCCTCCAGCCAGACTTCCCTTACCTCCACTGCTCTGATCAGCCTTGACTGAGGCTGTCGAACCCCTCTTGCTTGTTCCATTCGCTAGCTTTTCCTTGGACTCCTGCGTGAATTTATATTTATCAGAGCTGCCTCCTCTGCTTCTCCAGTGTCCATGGTGGGAGTTGTTGAACTCACTGTGAGGACCCCCGTCCCCTCTGCCGTGAGGCTTTTTTTGAGCGTTACCCATGTCTCCCCTTTCAGGAGCAGCTGAGCTCTCCTCCCCTCCCACAGGCTGGCTGGGTTCAACCGGACGAGCTGGAAGGGAGAGGGAGGGAGAGAGGGAGGGAGAGGCAGAAGGAAAGACAGAGATGAGGGGTAAACACACCCACCGGAAGTTGTCAGCGGTTACATCACAGTGGGGGAGGGTTGGACACACATGACACAGAGCACTTCAAACAGGGTGTTCCAGGAAGCAGCAACTCTCAACAGTGAATTACGAAAGCACTGGGTGGGGGAAGGGCGGATAACACTTGCATACACTGTAGTATGTCACGTTACCCAGATGGAAAAGCTTGGGTTTCTTCTATCTAGACCACAGGCAGACAGAAGGCGTTGTGGTTAAAATGCCTGTCCTTCTATTGACACGATTATGGAAGCTGCCTTTTAAAATACATCAATAGCAGGAAGCTTTTAAAGAAGGACTGTAAAATGTTTTGAATGTACATAGAAGAGCATTATCTGAATTTGAATTGATCACAGATACATTTTTTGGACAGATTCAGTGAATCATAATTTGTCACTTGCCTGTTTATAGTATCTGTGTCTATAAATCACTAATATATAGATACTGAATATAGAGGCGATCAAAGTATTACACCATTCAGTTCTGAATTTCTCACCATTTCTGTTGTTGTCCTCCTCTTCTACTTCTTGGATGAGGATTGTTTTGCCTTTGCTCTTCTGCTCTGGTCGACATTCTGAAATCCTCTTCTCTGTTTCACACAGAAGTTGCTAAACCAAAAATAGTTCAGACATTAGACAGAGTTTGCTAACTCATTCTGTTGCTGTTTAGTCATCAAAGGTGACACAGACACTTATACCACAATCATCAATGAAGACATATCCTCAGCATTCACTTACAGTTAATTACTACCTCTTAGACATAATTAAAGGACTTTAAACACAAAATGATGGTCACCATGTAACAAGGAACATCTGGAAGACTCTACTCCAGATGTACAGTAATTAAAGACTACTTTTTTTAAGATTTATTTTTTGGCTTTTGGCCTTCATTTGACAGGACAGTGGATAGAGTAAGAAACCAGGGAGAGAGAGAGAGAGAGAGAGTAGGGAATGACATGCAGGAAAGGAGCCACGGGCCACCTGCTGAGAGGACCAAAACCTCTGTACATAATATGTGAACTACTGTGAACTACTTTTGATTCACTTAAAACCTTGCAGCAGTTGAAATGTGTTCTAACATGCCTGATCTCCAATAATTACAATGAGTCCTATCGTGAAAAACAAAAAAACCTACTGGCATGAAACGAACATATCTCATTATAGATTCCATCACCTACCGTGGCTGCAGCATTCTGTGGCTCTTTCCTGAGCACCATCCTCAGGTCTTCAGCCGCCAGCTGGAATTGACCCATGTGATTATAAACTTTGGCACGTCGCAGCAGGCCTGATGATGGAGGAGAAGAAAAAAAAATCACATTCTGAATCTAAATTGCATTGATTGAAGCAACTCTTAACTACTTCACAGTAAAGTTACAAATATAGTACGTAATATTCTATGAGAACGATAATGAGAAAGAGCCTCAGTTAACTTACTGTTTTTTGACCTACTGTGAACTTATAAATTGATGCTAAAATAATGTCTATATTTACATGCATTGTTTTAACACCGATAAAGTGGTACTGCACAAAAGGGAAAGCACCTTTCACATTGCCTGATTCCAGCTCAAGTACCCTCTGACAGTCGCTCATGGCGTTATGCCAGTGCTCGAGTTTGATCTCCGCCTGGGCTCTGTTGTTGTAGGCAGACACGGATGGTATAATGGAAATGCTCCTGCAAATGATGGGCAAAAAATACATCAACCTTTATTAATAAAGGCTAATAGACACACACAGAGAAGTAAAGTAAATGATGATGGACATGAGCTTGAATTGTGCTTTTCTAAGCTTCTGATTACTCAATACTCCGTCACACCTACTCATTCACTCACTGATGACAGAGGCTGCTATGTAAAGTGCATCAGTATTAACTAATCCCCTTCACATTCACACTTCGCTGCCGAAGCAGCAGCGAGCAAATTGGGGTTAAGTGTCTTGCTCAAGGACAGATTAGACATGTGGCTGCAGGAGCTAGGGGATCGAACACCCGACCTTCAGATGACCAGCTCAATCACTCAACCACAGCCACCTCTATCATTCCCAAACATTACATGGTATTGATATCAGGCCTTAAGAAATGCAAAACAATTCTTCAAATAAAGAAGTGATTTTAAGAGCCAAACCTGGAATAGTATGCAACAGCCTCCTCATAATCATTTGCCCTGAATGCTTCATTGCCTTTGTCCTTTTCACGATTTGCCAGAAGGAGCTTCTCCTGTTGTGATTTCACTGAATTGATTAAAGAGAGCAGATATATTAGACACAAAATGCTTCATAAAGACATAAATATAAGATGCTATTCTTGAAACATTACATGACGCATCCACTTCAGTCCTGATTTGGGGGTGTTGGTTGTTTGCGATGGCAGGTGGATCATTTGTGACCACGTTTCCATCAATTCTTTTGCATTCTTTTTCCACATCGAACCTGGAGACAGAGTGAATATATCTGGGTAAAGGAAGACACTGGAAAATAATGTTCAACAGAAACACCAGCCGTTTAACTGAGCATCATTGCCATGAGAGAAGCTTAGCTAAGGCAGAGTGAAACAGGGTAACATGAGATTGCATTCTTTATAATTTTATCACATAAACAGAGAAAGACAAAATTACTCACTTGTCCCATTCTCGATAATCACGTGGGAGAGGATGTTTTGAACAATTCCTCTTTTCTTTTGATACTGCAGTCTGTATGACACATTAATTAATTTAAGCCTTTTTTCACTGTATATATAATAACACATGGTGAAATACATTTTGAAGACTATTCTTTTTACCTGATTAAGCGGAACAGAGCAATTGGAACCTCGTATTGGTGTCATATCTTCTTTCATTGATGCATCAATCATTGGCTCCTGCATCAGCAAAGTCTCAGTAGTTTTGGTTTCTTCTTGCCAAATCTGTAGAGAAGGAAAATGTGTAACAGTGATTCCAAGAAAAAGATTATATTATGATTGATCAGAAAACATTAAAATGTGAAATATACCTTTAAGTCATCAAAAATCTGGCTCCACTCATCTTTGGCGAGACTGGCTGCTGTGGCCACAGGGTTTTCCTTTCTGAGAGCTCGGTTTCGAGGGTCCAGTTTCTTCATGTGACTCTCACAGAACTCAAGTAGATGAGGATAAAATCCCTCTTTGCCAGACCTTTCAACAAAGTAAAACATTATTTGAAAGCCCCACATGTTGGATGGGCCACTACCCTACTACAACCAGTGATGTGTTGTGTGAAATCTATCTTCAATCTTGTTGACATTTTCCAATGATACAAGACTTTTAAAAATGTATTCTCCTTCTTCATCCTCAAAAGCTCAGTTCTTTTTTCTTTTTTACCTTAATACTTCTAAGATCTTCTCCAGGTATTTTACATCTTTGCATTTCTCGATGTAAACATAGTCCAGGTGCTCCACAGGAACCTTTCCGCTGAAGTCACTGGAGGTGGACTGGTTTGAAAAGAAAGCTGCACTCATGCCTACAAGTAATTTAATGCAGTCAGTTATAAAGTCAAACAATGTGGTTCAATCAATATCAAACAATGTTCGGCTTCTGTAAATAATAGAGAAAAAATAATGATGGGCTAACGTTCGTTAACCAAACAATTTGGGCTTATTTCGACAGTTTTGGCTCCACAGACTTTGATTAAATCAACATTATTAGTTGGTATTGGATACATTATCTTTTACGCGGAAATAAGCGAATTTAATATTTCCTTTTATCCGAAGTTAATTTGCTATTAAAGCCCAAAACTAAGAGAAATAACTTCACCTGGTGTCGTCTGGGTGAGCAGAGAGGAATAGCCCGTTGCCATGGTAACCACAGACGGAAAGAGGCTGCAGGCCCAGAGCGGAAACATGTGACGCAGTCAAACGGTGGGCTCCAAATTTGAAAAACGTGGCTGTGCCTTTTCGCCTGAGGTATCACCGTTATTATCGGCACTTTGCGTTTACGTTTGCGCAGTTCAGACCAGAGGTAAGACTTTTTGTATTTAAATTATCTCATTTCATTCTTCACACGACACCGGGTTGCCACTTACTTTCGACTGTTTGTGTGTTTTTTTACGAAGACAACACGTCTGTAAAAAAGTACCTCTATCAATGTGTTTGTTTAATAACGCAATAAGCCACCCGGGTAAAAGTCGTTACTCACAGGTGTTTTCTTACCGTGCTAATTGGCCTACTGTATCACAGTTGTTGAGCCCAAAATGCAATTGTTTTTTTAAAGTTATGTAAACGGAAAAAGGTTCAACTCCACTTCAAAATCCCCTGAACCATGATGACATCATTCGTGTGGTGTTTAAAAAACGGATTATTTAAGCCCAATTACTGGGAACACTGACAAGACACAACCAGCCAATCAAACTGCTGTTATTTTCTCTATTTATTCAACCGTAATTGAATAAAATGGGAGAACGAAAATAAGGTAAATTGGTTTATTTCCCCGTTAACCCTGTTGTATGAATCCCCGGGGAGTGCAGTGCTGGTTGGTGTGGTTATCTGGCTCTGGCGGCTATAGCTTACTTTACAGCGGGAGAACCCGGATTTAAATCTGCAACACGCCCTCTCATAGCAACACTGATGAAACAGCTGAGAATGTTTAGTGTTGAATCAGGACAAATCTCTGCCTACCGTATGCGTCGAGAACAACTGAAAGGATTTAGATAGGCCTGTGTTTCAATAACTTTGCTTATCCTGCAAGTGAGGGGGGAGGTAAGGCCACATTCAACCTGTATTTGTAGCTTTATTTGTGTGTTTTGAACCAGTCATGATCTGGTGTTTCACCTGTAGCTTTTGTTTGTTTGGGACTTTTACCTTTCTGCATCTTGTTCTCTTTAGGTCCGTTAACATCATCCTCATTTGGTTGTTTCTGTTTGGAACAAAAAAGGAGCTTGCAGCTGCAGCAGCAGCAGGAGGAGGAAAATGGAGTGTACTCCTGAATCAAACATCTACCCTGAGAGCTGCAAAGGGAAGCACTTTTACGACGACTGCTCTGACAGTGGGTACTCGGGTTTATTCCACAGCCCTCAGAGCACCAGCGGTGCCGCCTCCCGTACAACTTTGTCCCCAGTAGAATTCAATGAAACGCCAAAAGAGAACCTCAGGGAACCCGTCAAATATGTGGGCAAAGACTTGAGGGGAACACAGCGACCGCCTGTCGTAAGTTGGTGTGAAACTCCAAAAAGAGATTCCTCATTGAGACACAGACTTCTAATGCGCAGACCCACCACTGATGTCAAAACTGACAACACAAGATCGCCATGCACCAGGAGGACTGGCCGATCTGAACATTGGTTAAGTGTTTCCTGTGATACTTTAGACACTATGACAGGAGCCTTGGCATCAAGCACTTTGGAGCACGATTTGCCACTGTCTGGTAGGAAACGCCGTCTCCTCTTCACGCAGGCGAGGACATCAACCCGAGAAGATGGAAAGCCAAACTGTTTTCCCCTTCCGGTTTTGATAGAAGAGTTTCACTCTCAGATGCAGACTTCATTGAGAACATTTCTGCCTCTGGTCAAATGAATAATGAGACTCCATGCTTTAGAAAACTCCAGTCTTCCTCATCTAAAGAGAACTTTCAATCACCAATCAGCAGTGTTGCTAACAACCTTCATGAAAGCTCAAGTGTACTGTGCACACCATCTTCAACACACAAACCTAAATACATCAGGTATGTGCTTTTTTTGACACATGGCTTTGTAACGTCTGCTTTACATTTTTCTATCTAACATTCTCTGTGCTATTTACAAAAAAATGCTTATGTTTAACCCCCTTCAAACCTCGGACAGGTCTGTGTGTGAAGATAGTGGTTTCAGTTCTTTGACCCTTGATAAATCCCAGGACTCCTCGGTGGACCATGATGGCTCTTTCCAGGAGCTGCTGCCCCCTAACTCCAGAGGGAACAGTGAAACTCCAAATCTGACTGAGACAAAGCGACACTCCGTTTGCAGCGGCAGCATAGGCTTTCTACACTCAAAGAAGGGGGCTCTCAGTCTGAGGAAGACACAAAGGAGAGAAAGTATGAACATTTTTATAAGCACCACGGCCTTTGTAAAGAAGATGAGGTTTTTGCTGGCGATGCCACTCCTGTTGGAGGTGTTTCTGTTGCGTTTAGCAATAGCATGACCTCTGATAGTTTGGCTTCTGCAAAGCATTGCTATACAACCCCATTAAGAGCATCCACAACCATGCCAGAAAACAAGACACCTTTTAACACCGTTCAGGCCAATCAAGAGGTAACTCCAGTCACAGCAACCCCAGTGGATCTCTCTCTGACACCAGCGCTGCAGCTGGTTCATGCTATGTGTCAGCAGAATGCCCAGATGTTTGTTGGCCAAAGTCCAAGCCTAAAGGAGCAGCTGAAGTCCACAGCAGCACTTGCTGAGACGCTGGGGACGTTCAGGACCACCATGCCGTTGGCAGGGCTCATCGGCAGGAAGATGGGCATTGGGAAGATCGACATATTGACAGAGCTGAAGAGGAGGAACCTCAGGCACATTCTCGCAAAAGTATTCAGCCACCTGTCCTCCGAGAATATCTACAGGTTAGGAGTCTGTCTTTACTGTTTACACGATGTTAATCCTTTTTCATGCAGTGTATGAATCTTGACGCCTTAAGTTAAGTAGGTTTATTCCAGGTTTTTCATACATCAAACCAATGAGAATTTGTGATGACAGCATTAACTTACCACTAACACATGGTGAAGTAAATTAATGTATGTAACTGTTAAAATGAAAATAAATACATACAGCTCTAGTATTGAATATTATAAATGTATCAGACTTTCTTGTCTGACAAGTTTTGATTTTGTGTACTTCCCTTTGTTACTTAAAACAACAGGCTTCATGAACAATCAAGGTTAATAACAGTATTAACAGTTAAATGGGAGCAGGCATTCTAAGTGTCTATTTGCTTGTGTTTGGAAGGTGTGGTCAAGTGTGCAAGAACTGGAGTGAAATCATCCAACAAGACAAGCAAGCCCGTTTTAAGAGAAGAAACCACCTAAGTAAAGTGGAGTCTGCTACTGAGGTAGGAGATTGTTGTGTCAATTGTCATATTAGTATATGTGTTTAATCGTTTTTTATCTAATGTCCAGTAAAATGGAATTTACTTTCCAGTGTGATTTAATGTAAAGTAATAGGGCGGAATCATCAATGCATTTGCAATATATGTTTGCAAATTCAATATTGATTCAGAAAATCCTGAAGTTGATTGTCATGTCAAAAACTGAGGCATGTCCTAAGCCTAATATTAGTTAAACTATTTAAAAGAAAAAGCAGATTCAAACTAAGGAAATATTTGTGTTTAAGGATGCATGCAGTTAACTTTTTTCATGTAATTACTGTACAGCATAGTTATGTTTATTATGTTTGTGTTGTAAATTCATCTCAGGCACAGATGCACTAGAGCATACTGTACGTTAACGTTTTATCCTTTGTTTATTAAAGAATAATGCAACGGTAAAATACATTTACAATTAAAATCAAATTGACAGTTCCCAGTCCTACAAAGTAACCTGTGAAGGAGTATTTCATTGTCATCCAGCTTTTCATTGACTTTGTTTTGTTGTCTTACAGCTTGGTGGTGCTGTCCATGTTCCTGACGCAGAAACCAGACTGACTCTGACTAAGAGATCTGCCCTGAAGATGGTCCAGTCCCAGTCTAGGAGTTTGAGCTTCTGCACCCCACAGTCAGGAAAAAGCACTTTGACCCCATTAAATTCAGGCAGCAGCAGGCGGGAGAAATTTCTTGAGGTGAATTTAAATCTCTTATTAATTGACTAAGAGAACTACTAAGGATATTTCCAATTAAACATTTGCGTTATATTTCATGTCATTTTCTTCCCTTCAGGTTGCCAAAACCCTTTTCAACGATGAGTGCCTCAAGCCTTGCCCCCGATGTCAGAATCCTGCAAGGTGTCACTCAGTGAAGAGGGAGGGTGTGTGCAGCACAGCGGACTGTGGTTTCCAGTTCTGCACAGCCTGCTTGTATGCTTTCCATGGCTCTAAAGAGTGTGGGAGCAGGTCTGTAGGCCGTCACAAGAAGGACATTATTCTCCCTGGAAGCGCTAAGAGCAAGCGAAACATTAGGAGACTATGAGCAGGAAGTGGACTGTTATCCTGTTTGTATTGCCAGAGTCACTTTAAATTATTTTTCTGGTCTAATGGCAAAGACGAGCTGTGGCAACAGCGAAACTAATTTGAAGCTAGTACATGAGAGCAAGTTCTGTACTTATTGATGTTTTTATTCGTATCTATTTACTGTATTTTACCCCCTTTCCCCCCATTTTTCAACACAGTTCTTACTGTTTTTAATTATGAATGTGAAGGAAATCTCCAGCAGTAAAATGAACTTATTTTGCTCAATCATTTCCATACATGTTGATCAACTGTACATAAAGTGTTTTTCGAGATTTCCCAATTTTACCAATGTTTTTTCAGAGTTATTTAGAATAAATTTATATTTCTTTTTACTTATTTGCCACTTGTGTCTCCTTTTTTTGACTCTCTCCAATGTGAGCGAGTGAATTTATCAGCGTTTGGTGCCATCTAGTGGTATGTCGTCCTAACTTAAAGGAAATCTTGTTTCAATGAGTTAACTTTGTTTTCTTATTAAATAAGATAAATTCACTTGGATGCTCACAGTTATCTCAACAAATTACGAAGGAATAGATTTGCATTACAAACGACAAGACGAAACACAAACTTCTTTGTTATTCTCTGCTCTGCTCTAGTTAAACTTTTACAGCCCTTTGTGTTTTGAAAATGAGTCCACTTCCATAGCAACCTGCAGTGTGTATGTAATTACACTGAGAGGTTTGTGGCTGGCCGAATGTTCGAATGGCAGCCACTTTGAAAATACTCTAAGGGCATTTTAATGTAAGGAACAATGTGTGGTGTAACCTTAACAGGTAGGATCAGCTCTTCTAAGACATTTCTATTTGATATTTTAACTCAAGAATCTTTGGTAACTTAAGTTTGTGTTTGTGTTAAGAGTGTACTCGTCTAACTGCTGACAACTTTGTGAGTACAAGTTCTCCTTTACTACTTTTCAATCTGTAATAGCAGTTTGGTGTAAATTGTCTGTTATGCTGTTCCAGTGATGTTACCTGGAGTTATAAGTAGCATTGCTTTTCTCAATGCAGGAGACTCGTCTGGCCTCTGACGATGTATTGACTCACTACTTCAATGATTTCTTAAATCTGCCGGTAAAGTTGATAAATTGTATAGATGTAACACTCCTTTGACAAAACTCGTGCACCCTTTGCTTACCCTTACATCTTTCTCTTTAAGTCTTTCCCAAAGGCTTTGCTGTACAACAGGGAGACAGGGCTGTTTGAGGTGGTGAGTGGTGCTGCTGAGTTTGCATCCAGCAGAATCAGATCAGACCTACATAGCATCAGATCACGACTCCTCACTGGTGACCCATTAGCACTGGCCAGATCCCCTCCAGTAGACAACCACTACACTGTCAGTGTGAGTAAGCAATACGTCCTTTACAGGGGAAAAAACATGTTATTTATCACTCATTAAGGGGATAAGCAGAACAATATACTTTAGTTTAACACGTATCTATCTTTGTGACATCTGCAGTGCCTTGACAAAGAGCAAGGCATCCAGTGGATACTGACAGAAAGACTGCCCTTCTTCCTTAAAAGTGACTGCTATAGTGAATACAGGTACTGCAAGTGCTCTTTGAATCTCCTATACATACTGAACAGGAAAGCCTTCTATAATCTCTAGATATTTGTATCTTTTTGTGTTCCTCACATCAAATTATTTCTAACATAATATAATTCTTTCTTAGTTCTTCATTGTCTAATAGCACATACGTTTTATTTTTGCATTTGATTACTTTACTTTCAAAACTTGAAAAATGTCTACTTTGAAACTTAGATCTATTTTTATTGAGATAGAATAACATACCAAAAAAAACAAGACATTATGAAATCGCTTGAATATGATGTTGTATCTACTGCCATGCAAAGCTCACATCATTGATCTGTAGCCTGTACATGTAGAATCATTCATATCAGTCCTTTAAATAACATTATAAAGTAATAGATGGACAAAGAAAGAAAACAAGAAATTATAATGGGACTAAATTTGTAGAGACGAACACAAGTGGGTCTGAAAATCCCATTTCTTTCATATTTTTCAAATTGATCTTTTATGACTATCTTTGCTATTTAAAGAATGCTTGTGGCCCTGAATGCATCGCACTGTGGTTTTGTAGCTGGTTCAAATGCTTGTGTTACCCTTCATCTGATCTTTACACGACCACATTCCTGTTACTTGCTATCCCATGCTAACTTTCAAACTACACAAAGAAGCAGTGACACAGAATCAACAATGTGTTATTACTTTGTATCGCACAATGAATGAATGTTTTCTAGAGTAACACTGGTTGTCAGACAGGAGAGGTCACCAGAATGTTCTACTTTTTTCACAGGTTTACCAAGCTCTTGTGTCAGTGGGACTCAAACCTCCATATTCAGAGGAGGAATGTAACCTCTGATCAAACTTTTGTGTCAAAACCACAAAAATACTTTCAATCCCAACTCAACTTTGAAAATAACAAATCACTGAAAGCCCCAACATGGTCACATTCTAAAGAGCACGTTTCAGTAAAAGAAGGTAAAAACTTGTGCTTGTGTTTTTGATGAAATCAATTTATGAAAATCTGATACTTATGTTATCTCTTTCTTTTCTTGTTCAGAATATGTGAGGATGAACAGTATTACATGTCTACCTTCTGAACAGAAGAAACTTTTCAACACTAAATGCAGTCAGTCATCCAGATGTTTCTCCAGCTGCTCCGAGCCAGAGGACCTACGTGCTGTTTCTTCTTTGTCCTCCTTCTTTAACTTTACATTTAAGAGAAGCGATGATCTCTGCAGCTCACAGACAGACATTAGCCAGAACATCACAGCACCATCAGCTGGAAACTTAGTGGAGCAACAACTCAAAGTACCCAAAAGTCACAATTCTGATTCTTTTGAGCCACAAATGGAGCACGTGGCTGCAGAAGTGGTTCAACAGGTGCTAAGCAATGCACTGAATGTGATGAGTGGTCAGAGCCAGACAATTGATTTTGATCGTCTCTGCGAGGCAGGAGACCAGACAAACAGTACCAGCACACACCGGTCCTGTGAAAGGAAAGTTAGCCGGCCTTTGCTTAGCAGGGGAATACAAAGATTGGAAGAGAAGAAAGAGAAAGTCCAAGAGGGCAAGAGGGAGAGTGGAGGGGAAGAAAAGACAGTTTGGCCTAAGAAGAATTGTGAGGTGGGAAGTTGGGGCACCTACCAGGAAAATGTTCGTGATATTTGTTGCCATGGTGCCTGTTGCCATAGCGCCAGACCAGGCTTTGATGAGTTCAGAGAGTTTTTGCAAGGAACGCCTGGAGAGAAGCTGCTTAATCTCTGGATGGACATAGAAAGACTGAAAGCAACACAGAACACAGAGCGAAAGAAAAGGTACACATTACATCCGAGGAGAAGTCTTGATCAAATTTTAACTTTTCATTTCAGTGAGAAGTACTAAAGGCTGACATGTTCTGTTTAAAAAGTAATGGTGATATATAGAGCTTGAAACACTTCAAAAGGCTCCTGAACTTTTGAAAGAAAAGGAAAAGAACGACTACCTTTTATTTTGGCGTTGTCTTAATAAATCTGATCGAGATCTGATAACGTGTTATGTGGTATTTTGGTACCAGGTATGTGGTCTTGATGAGGAGCTGCTACCTGCTGAGCAGCAGCCAGAGCAGTCTAAATGTGGAGCTGCTTTCCAGACTGGGGCTGTCTACCTCCCCCTGCTGGACAGAGGAAAAACTGTGCTCGATCCAGCCTTTCCTTACAGAGTCCCTGCTCTCCTACTGGTGAGAGTCACAGTTCATAGTGTTCAAGTTATCTTAACCATTAATACTGGGTTTCTGTGTGCAGTATCAATTTAGATGTTCATTTATTTACAATCATTTTGATATTGCAACTTTCATTCCTACATGGATGGCAGATGTGCCATGCAGGCTAACAAACTGCCCGACAGCTTATACAGTGTTTACTCACTCACATTCATACAGCGATTTAGGGTTCAATATCATAACCATGTAGACTGGGGAAACACCCTTGTTTATTCTCTCTCCCCTTCATCCACAGGGTTCCTAGGTTTTGGACTTCCCGGTGTGTCCATAATAACTCCCCTCCTCTAGGGCAGTGGGCAGACTTGTGTGTAACTCCTATGCCGGACACACATCCTCTCCTCTGCCCTGGCTCCACCCTACCCCAGCACCACCATGCTGTCCACACACAGGTAGGACCACCAAGATATGACACAAGTTAGTGCTGAAAAGAGATCCCCCAAGGCAACAACACAGAGACCAGTAGCAATGAAGCTCTAACTGTATCGGTTTCACTCATTTGACTGTCAGTCATGGTAGGTGGGATCAGTACCTGGCAGTTTATTAAAAATTAATCTAAATGAATGTAGGTGCCTGATATGAGGATGTGCAGAATCTCTATTTTTAATTTATCACTATTTAATAAACATACATTGCATACAGTACATACATTATTTTTGACATGTTGTTCTCTCCTGTGTATGTTATAAGTTGTTTTCCAGCAGAAGTCAGTTACTGAGCAGCAGAAGAATGGAAGAGATGTTACAGGCGCTTTATGTTGAATCATGGGCTGGTTTATACTTCACAAACTTCTGTGAGCAGTCTGGAAACCAGGTACAACAGCAGCTGCTGGAATAATCACACCTTTAATTCATAGTTAATCATGATTGCACATTTGAATGTTACTGTTATATGATATGATGCAATACTATGCTATGTGCACACTTTTTAGACATCTGATATGACACCTGCTCATTTGAAACGTTTTTCTTTTTTTCATTTCAGTTGTGGGAGAATGCAGTTAACTTTTGGACTGACCTGCAACACTACCGTGTGTTGTTCTGTCAAAATGGACTTGACCCCTACAGAGTACAGAGAGAGGCACAGGTAATTACCAAGTACAAAGAACAGTATGGGTTTAATGTAAACTCTATATGTATAACAGTGATGAGACCAAGACAAGACAAGTTTATTTATACAGCATATTTCAACAAGGCGTTTCAAAGTGCTTCACACAAGACATCCAAAGCATCATGGCAGAGGAAAAAAGAAGCATCAAAATAGATCATTTAAAAATCACTTACACAATCACAGATTCCAACTGAAAATATGTTGAAATAAAATTAAAATCATTAAAATGAAATGTATTTAAATAATTAAAATTAAAAAGTAAAATATAAAAATAGTTATATAATAAGAGTGAAGTTACAGTGCAGAGTTAAAATGTAATTAAAATTGATATAAGCTAGTGTCAGCTATTTGACCGTCACCAACCCTGCATTAAGAAGCATTAGCAATTTAATAACATCAGAAAACTCTAATTAAAAGTGTATCTGTTTTTTTGCTATTTGCTTTCACAGAATACTTCTCCACTCTATTATTAATTAATAAACTTTTGCCACAAAAGTAGGAACACACTGGTCTAAACATTAAATCGTTTTTCTCTTTCTCTCTCAGGCGCCTGAACATAAATTATATTTCAGAGACCAAAAGTTTAGAGCCAAACTTCCTTTGAAGGATAAAAGATATATCTGTGAAAATATGAGCTTATAAAGCTAAATGGATGTTAAAATAATAATTAAAAAAAACCTCTGCAGTAAAGTCCAGAGAGATATGATGGCCAGGATACATCATGTTTCACAAAAAATGTCAAACAAAATACATTTAAAAAAAGCAATTGACATAAATAGGTGCAGTAAGCAGTTATTTTGCTAATTTGACTGCTGCTCCTGGTCTTTTTCATCCTTCTTGACTCTTCACTAAATGTAGAGATTAAAACACTCAGTCTAACTGAGTCTCTACAGCTCGACCAACAGCTGAAAGATCTGCTCCAGAAAATACTCAGAGTAAAACGTATTTTCCTTGACTTAACCTTTAGTTCACCAAAGGAATGACATCGATGATATTTCCGTTGTGCTGTTGCCAAGAGGGTTAAATAACTGACTTTAATGTGGTGTGATGGCAGCAGTGATGAGAGATAGTGAATATTGTGTATGAGAGCTTTGAACAATGGTGATGATGGAAGTGATGGTGGTTTCGAGAAAATAATGTTTCTTGAGTGATGACATTTTTATGACCTCTCCTCTCCTCTCCTCTCTTTCCTCTCCTCTCCTCTCCTCTCCTCTCCTCTCCTCTCCTCTCCTCTCTGACCTCCTCTCCTCTCCTCTCCTTTCCTCTCCTCTCCTCTCAGCTGCTTTACTCCACCTATCTGTCCAGCTCTGCCAGGAGGAGCGTAGGTGTCAATGAGGAGATCAGAAGGGAGGTGTACAGTCATATGAGCCCTGCTTATGAGGAGCTATTTGACAGGGTTGAGGAACACACACTGAACATCCTGCTTGAGCCATGGACACTGTTGGTCCGTAGAAACACCAAGTCCTTCCAAAAGGTAACTGCAACACAAACTTAATCAACTTGCTGGCTTAAAGGTTTTTGTATTAGATGGCTTCTCTCTTTTTGCAAAACAGTCCCTGTTATAAGCGAATTGCTTGGTTCGTTTAAGTCTTAAGTTTAGCTTGCAGTGTTTTCAAGAAATGGTTCTCCTGTCAAATTCTAATTTGTCTCTGCATTGTCTTGGGTCAGAAACAACCATGAAGTGTAAAGTTGATCAGATGAACGGCTCTTGAGATATTCCCAGGGCAGTCATACACACAGACAGTGAGACAGGATAGATGAAACTGCTACAGCACCACCAAATCAAATGAGATTGCATGTTTTTTTGCATTTTATGAATGCTAAATCGGCTCTTGTATTGCTTTTAAAGTCTTCTGACTACTCAAAGCGCAGTTCTCTCCACACCCGTTCACACACTGAAGGCAGAGGCTGCTATGTAAAGTGTCCATCAGTATTATCTAATCCCATTCATACACATCCACACGCCGCAGACGAAGCTACAGGAGCAACTTGAGGTTAAGTGTCTTGCCCAAGGACACATCAGACACATGGCTGAAGGAGCTGGGGATCGAACCCCCGACCTTCAGGTTGAGAGACGACTGACTCTACCACTGAGACACAGCTACCAAAAGCATTTCAAAATCTTTTAAGAGAAGCTTTATAAAAACACGTTAAAACATGTTATGGAATAATATGTAAAATCCAAAAAGCTACCCATGTCAGACTTTGTTGTAGGTGCAGCAAGACAAATCAGCTGACTAATTTAGACACATTTCATTCTAAGGTCAAATTAATGTAATCACAAAAGGGTGTGGCCTTTATGGATAAATGTATCTAGACAAAAGTCATGAGTCTGGTTCTGCTTAAGGTTTTTCTGCCTGTTCAAAGGAGGTGTTAGCTTGCTTCTGTCTGCTTGCCAGCTTGTTCATGGTGGATTAATGTTGGGTCTTTGTAGATAATCTAACAATAAGTGCGGTCTCGACCTGTTCTTTTTGTAAAGTGTCTTGAGATACCGCCTTGTGTTGAATTGATGCTGTTCAAATAAAAATGAAGATTGATTGAAACGCAGCTCTCCTCTGGGCCCCCAGCAATGCACCGCCATGTGCCAAGTGTATCAAATGAACTGTTCTTGAGATAAGAGAATGTGAGGCACTTACCTACAAAGTCTTTCCACGATAGTTTGATATATATTCTTATTTTGAAAAGTTAATGCCTTGCTGAAGTGATGTGCAGCAGATGTGATTCCACAAAAAGCAATAAAACAACCAAATATTATTTATATAAGTGCATAACATCATACCACAAAGTCATCGAGCTCAAGATGCCACTATAAGTTTATTTTTTTTTTGTCTGACCAACAGTCTAAATCAGAAAAATAATAAATCCATACAGATCAAGACCAAGAAAAGCAGAGAACATGTGACCATACCTTTCTGGGTTTTCTGTTTTTAAGCAGACTTAATATATTAGCTGAAGATCTAAATATTTGCAGATGAAGTTTTGAGTTGATTGATTGAAAAAAGAAGAATTGTTTCAGCTATGTGCTGTGTTTTCAGGTATGCTTGCAGGAGGAGGTGCGCTATGTTGACAGTCAGGAGTACAGAGAACTCCAGAGTCTTTACAAGGAATCAAAGTGTCGTTTAAATCAAGTATGCAAGAATATATTCACTCCATGCATTCACAAAATGTCGCCCTTTCCGTCGTTATCATCTTTCATGTGCTGCTGCATCTCTGCATCTCCAGGTGGAGCAGAGTGAGTCCACGCTGTCTGCCTCTCCTATTACTCCCTCTACTTCCCTCTCAAAGGGCTCCTGGGCAAGAGTGTCTCAGAGTTACCAAGGTTACCGTCTTGGTTCCTTGCTTCGTCACCGCCATGAGATTGGGCACTTCATGTCCTTCCTACAGAGTCATAATGCCAGGTAAACTTACACCAGTTTCCATAACAAACTCACTTCCCACTTTCCTTTGGTATCCATATACAGATGTTGTACAACACTTTGTTGTCCTTGCTGCAAATATGAGACTCATGAGACTCAAATGTAGCCAGCATGGGAAGGCATATAAATCACAGTTTGCCACATGTAAACAATGCAATAAAGTCTTTTCCTTGTTTTAAACATCTGTGCTTCTGAACAGCATACATCTGACATGCTGGCTGGATCTGGAGCAGTACAAGAGGACTCCTCAGAAGGACACAGCTGTCAGACAGGAGAGGTCCTTCCATATTGCAACCAAATACCTCAACGGGAAGTACTTCTTCGGCCCTGACAGCCCCGCCACAACACAACAACAGAATGATGTACGTCAGTCAATCACGATATTCCAAAAACAATATGTCCACTCTTATTGGCAAATCTATCCTTTTTGCCATCATCAAAACTCCATTGAAATTGAATTATTATTAACTTCCCGAGGGAGCTGTGGAGAAGTGGGGGGCAGAAACATGGTATCCATGACATCAAAGCCCAAGAGTGGAGCTCACACTGAAGCTTGACATCCAGATTTAATAAACAGAGGCTGCTGTGCTCTCACACAGTTTCCAATCCCCCTCCTTTGGCATTCTGGAGACTTCATGCTGACAGCCCTGACAGCAAGATGTCAGAGGGAAACGGAGGATAAGAGGACATGGTTAGAATTAAAACAAGAAGAAGAGAAGCGTGTGGTTTGCATCCAGAAAGACAAGGAAGATCCGCTCCAGTAACAATGGCAGTAGGATGAAGTCTCTCCTGACATTTACTGTCTGAGATAAGGTTTCTGGATTCTAGGATTACTGCAGGGTGCACGGAGCTAGAATGCCTAGATAGGGCACAGAGCAGTAAGATTTTCTCTTCCTTGAAACCAGTGATGGTAACTATGTAGTAACTGTAAGAGAAACGAGGGTTATACATTTTACATTTGTGACAGTACAGCAGCGTCCAGCCTTTTTTTGTGTGTGTGGTGACTTCTCAGTCCTGTCAGATAAACAAAAAACACCTCCACTGAGATTTGTTGGTTACCTAACAGGTCAGTTTGGAAATTGTGTTTGTGCTATCACTTGTGGCAGAAGCTGGAAACTCAAACTTTACTTTCAAGTTTTTCCATTTCAAATTTTTAACTCTATGGAAACAGTTGAATCTGATCGAGTCAACACAAGCTTTTTCAAAGTTGACTCAACTACTTTCAGCTAATGCCAACTGTGAACTGTTTCCTTTGTGGCGTCAACCATTTAATCTTTTCATATTTAATTACATTTTTTGACACACACTATTACCTTGACTATCTAATTTAACCATTTACTCATTACTTTAAGCTTATTATTTGTGTATTGCTTTCAGTCGTCTTTTTAATCATTCAGCCAGGTCTCTAATCAAGTCATAAAATCTAAGCTTATTTTTATTGCACTTCTGAGCAAACCTGCTCGCTAGTTTTTCACTCTTCTGGAAATGTAATTGTGTCTTTCTCTTTTTTCTTTGTACAGTAAGGTGAGTTGTTTATCACTTTTTCCATAAATACAGATGAATCTGCACCCCTGGGTTGCAGTCCCTCACGTTGGGGAGCTCTGTCATCTTTAATCTTTAGACATACATTGTACTTGTTGACATGACTTCAACTCTTCTGTATGACTTTATGCATTAGTCAACCTCATCTCGTTACTATCATCGAAAACATGATTCATCCTAGGCTGCATGTTCTAGTGCCTCTTACTCTATGGAGTCGTGCCTGGCTGCTGCTCCTGCCTCTCTGCCGTGCTTCTTGTCTGCGTGAGCAGCTTACAGAGACTGACAGCTTTACTGTTTTGGCCCTTCACTCTTTCAATCACTCAGTCATCCAGTCCACAGATTGGCCTCCTTTCATCTGCTGACTCCAAATCCAGTGTCACAACTGGTTCTCATTTCTGAAGCCTGTGTGTGAGTGTATATGTGAATGCATGACTTTGTGCGTGCAGAATGAGATGAGAGAAAATATAAAAGAGATATAAATATAGAGACATGGCCAGATCGATGTATGAAGACAGAAAGCAGACAGAGGAGTGAGCAGAACAGAGGGATTCTGGGAATGATGAAGAGCATTGCAGGAGTCAGGAAGGAGAGGAGTGTTCAAGCAGGGGCTTTTTTTTTTTTTAAACTCATATGTTCCTCATTTTTATAGAAATCTACTGTGCAGGAACACTCTTTAGCATAGAGATCAAACTAATGAACACACATGCAGTCATCTTCCTCTGCTGTGTCTCTGACTTCGTCTTTTTCTATGTGTAGATTTTGTGTTTGGCAGGTGGACTGGAGCGTCTGAAGCTAGAGTGTCTCTCAAGGCCAGATGTTGTGGAGATTCAAGACATCGTCAGGAGCCACATTGAGAAAAAATGGCTGCCTCTGTTTTTGTCCACAGCAGAGTTCACAGAGCGACAGAAACACCAGCCACAGGTGGAAATCTTAATTCACAATACTACACTGCCATGATTTTAAAAAAAATCCAACAGAATTTAGATGAAGTGCATTCAAAGATTGTATGACATTTTTGGGAATACACTTTGTTGCTGATAGAGAGGAGACAAGTCTACACCCACGTGTAATGGTTCAACTTAAGGCCACAGCCAGCAGCTTAGCTTTGAAGCATAAAGACTGGAAACAGAGAAACAGCTCAAAACATCATAAACTCTGTCTACCAGATTCTCTAAAGCTTAAGTAACACCATAGAGTTTGTTCTTGGAATAGATTACTTGTACTACTTGTGAAAAAATTGAGCTTTTATTTTTACACAACCAAAAATGAAAGCAGATTTTCCAGGGGTTAAGTGTTTTCTTTAAACTTATTCTGAGAAGCATTAACATTTTGGTTAGCACAATGAACTGCAGTTTGGATTTTTCAGCAAGAATAAATCCATATATAAAATCTGACTGATATACACTGTCCATAATATAATCAGTTATGTGCTGATCACATTTCTCTGTAACTGGATACGTATCTTCTGATATAGGCTTAGTCACCATTTAATGTTTTACAAAGCTATTAAAAAAACAATGCTCAGTATGATTTATGAACTGTGTTAGGTGGTTAGTTATCAAAAATGAATTGCACACAATACATAAATGACATACTGTAGAATTTGATCTTTGAGCTGTAAAATGAGAGTTGACAGAGCGCAGAGGTCGTTGGCACATTAGTGGCTCTGCTATGTGAGAAACCACTAAACGTTGTCACTGCTCTCTCAGGTTGCCTCGTCAGGTAAAACCTAAACCTCATATTCTGCTGCTCTGCCTCATTATGTGATCAAGTTTACTATGTTTGGTCACATGGATCTTCTCATTAACTAATGAGAGGTAGATGTAGTTTAGCACTACACGCTGCAGGAGGAGATCATGCGTTGGTGGAAAAGACGGTTAGTGGAGGACTGGAGAGAGAGATGCCATTAGATCGCCTAAGTTCTCTCTTAGATTGGAGAAATAAGAAGAGAGGAAATTAAGACTGAGAGAAGGTGAAAGGTAAGAGAGCAGAGGGAGCTTCAGTTACAGCCAGTGACAGAGTGCAGAGCAGTGAGGTTTTAGAGGTGCTCAGTTTCTCTGTTAGTCCTAATTTACTCAGTGTCTGACTTTTGACCTGTGTGTGTGTGTGTGTGTGTGTGTGTGTGTCTGCGTTGTAGCCCCAAGCAGCAGAAAGACCCTCTCTAAACCCCTACCGAAGGCGCAGAACGAGGAGAGAAGCCTGGAAGGTAAGGGGAAATCCTCTGGGGAAGCTGGATATTTGGATATTTGAAATGGAGAGAAATAAGGCATTTCCTGGCCTGAAAGCTTGTGTGATTTAGTTCATGACTTGGCTCCGAGCACTGGCTTTGTCAAACACCATTTTGGCCGTGTCGTTAGTTTTCCCAAATTGGATCCAGGATAAATAAGATTAAAGCATCAGCATTACTAACCTTCCTTTAATAATGTTGGGAGGGTTTTCCATGCAGCTCTGTTCTCTCCTTCCTCTCAGCTCAGCTCACAGCTAGACTCTGATAGAAAACATGAACATTTTACATTTTAAGCAGAATGATTACTGGAAGGAGTTTTCATGTGATTATCATCTTTGTGATCGTGACCTCATCCTTGGCTATGAGCAGTAAAGTAGAATCCTTCTCGGAGTCTTTAGTGGGCTATGCTCACAGGTCAACAATCAAGTGTTCAGGAACACACTGTACTGTAACTTCTACTGCTTTACAAATGAGTGATGTTTGGTTTTACAAGTAATTATATGTATATTTAATATCCACAAGAGAATAAACATAATGGCAAAAAGTCACCTTAAACAAGCTGACAGTCCTCCACCTTGTGTCCCTGCAGGCTGAGGGGTTGTGGATGAGTTCCTCAAAAGAGATTCTGCTGTTTCGACGGATCCTACTTAACCCCATCACTTGTATGCAGTTTCAGCACTTTGTCTTTCTGAAGGGAGACTTCCTAGAAAATGACTTGCTGTTCTGGCTGGAGGTGCAGAGGTACAAGGTAAAAGAAATAGAAATATCTAGAAGGGCTCAAAGGACATACCTGCAACATTATCTGGTTTGAAATCCTTGTTTTCTGCACTATGTACTATAAGATGACATAAAAAACAATCTAAGATAGATGGTCATTAAAATATATTAAGTGTTTCTACAGATTATGCTTCAGTTTGAAAAAATGATGAATGTGCACAGTTTGTGTTCACATTCATCTACAGTAAAGTAAATGATATAAGTCACATTATTGTTTCCTTTAGGATTCTTTCCTTTCTTCCCAACATAATCGTTCTTAGCTTTTGTCATTAATGAAACAGCAGGGAAGGGGAAGTGGGGAGAGGAGGGATTTCAGGTGAAAAAAAAAAAAGTTTTGTCCACACATTCCTGCAGCAGTATTAAGTCCAACTCTACGTATCACTTTCCCTGTGTCCTGTCTCTCTCTTCATCCAGGACCTCTGTCATTCCCACAGTGAGGAGGCCACCATCCAGCAGAAGATCTCCACCATAATCAGCTGTTTTATTAACTCGTCCATGCCCCCCGCCCTGCAGATAGACATCCCCCCTGAACAGGCCCAGCACATTCTGGACAAACGGCACGAGTTGGGCCCTTACATCTTCAGAGAGGCACAGGTAGTGTGTGTGTGTGTGTGTGTGTGTGTGTGTGTCAAAGGGGATGGATGGTGTTGTATTTTTTTTGTACGTGTAGAGACTTCTTTTACTTTTCTCCTGCAGATGTCAGTGTTTAGTGAACTGCTGAAGTATTGGCCTGAGTTTAAAGAGCTGAGCAGCACCGTCCAAGAGGAGCAACTCCTTCCTCTACTGCAGGAGAAACGAGTCACACACAGAGCCAGAGTGCGGAGACTGAAGAGGAAGGAGGAGGAGGAGGAAGAGGCAGAGAGGAGGAACGCTCAGGTATAGGGTGATGAGAACGTTATCATACAAAGTAATCTGCAAATTCAACAGTGTTGAAAATGAGAACATGTTTGGAAAATCTAATTTTCATTAGGAAAAGCTGGAGAGGCCAGAGTCGAGTTTTGGAGAGGGGAGTGAAACAGATGATGAAGATGAAGTAACCGCAGAACAGGAGCAAAGAAGTGAAAAAACTCCCACACAGTGTGTAAGGAACAGTTTGATAAACATAAATGTTGAGCTTATGTTTTTATAAAGTGTATAACATCAAGACAGACAAGTACTGCTGTTGCATTTAGAGCAAGAGAACTACAGGAAACAGAATGTATCAATTCACATTGGTCATATAAAAGACTTTTGTCTTATTTGAAGAGCACAACACCTGAGTAGGCACAAGACAATCACTGATCACGTTGATCCACACAGAGGGATACATCATTTTTTTAATGGTAGAAATATATAATAATTTTCCAATTATACAACATATAGTGTCACAAAAATCACTTCAGACATGAAAGTTTCAACAATGTAACAGATCTCCTGTTACTCTTGAATAGTGAAGTGTCACAAAAAAGGGTAATTCCACAGCTCTTAAAAATGTTTCTAAGAATAGAGATTAATTTACAGTCCAGAAATACATTTTGTTGTACAGTAGTAAAATAAACTGTGTGGCTCACGAGCCAAGAACAGTTGAAGATGTAGCGTAAAGTTCAGAGTAAAATTTGGGAGGAATCGGTCAAATTAATGTAACTTATTTTTTCATGTTTGATTTGTTCAAAGTTGAGGCTTTATATTGTCGCTATAGCAGCAACACCATGACTACTGTTCACAAAGTCTGTTTGGCACAGGACTGAACCTAAGAGTTACGTTTATTTTCATTCATGGGAAGAAGAAGAAAAATACTAAATAAAACTCAATCAGAGCATGCAGTCCAAACAGGGCCTCAGCAGGTCTAACCACAGCATATAAAGGAGATACTCAATCCTCTAATTTAACCGTTTTTCTAATCACATTAGATTTGACTACATTTCTGGAAATTTCCCTCTAGTTGTCGTGGTCCTACTCCAAGTACATGGCAGCCCTGCATAGAGAGGAGGTGCTGCTGAGGAGACCGCGTGAGCTGGAAGCCTCGTTCTCTACAGTCTCAGGTACAATCAATCATAACAAATGTTATCTCAAGACACTTTACTGAAAGAGCAGGTTTGGACCACTACTCTTTATTGTATTAATACAGAGACCCAAAATGAATCCACCATGAGCTAGCACTTACACACACCTCCCTTTGTCTCCCAGGGCTGAGTAAAACTATCCAGCAATGACCGCTCTCTGCTACTAGACAGATTAAATGCAGGAAACCATAACAGTGAAATGACATTTAGCCGTTCCCACGGTAAAATCCAAACCACATTTCCAAGGCTCTGATAGTACCTGGCAGTTAAAGGCAACGTTAGTCCCACCCCCCATCTCCACATGTCAGAACTGTCTCATTATGTAGAAGTCCAGCCAAAATAGCCACTTCAGCCTGTCCATTAGGTGTCAATGCTCTGTGCACGAGTTAGTGCGAGCCCGTACTGTATGGACATGGAAATGAGGCGCGATGCTAACGCAGGAGTAACTTAAAGCCCGTAGTGAATGAGGATTAACAGATTTTAAGTTTGTAAAGATTTATTTTAGGGCGTTTTGTGCCTTTATTGAAGGGACAGGACAGTGGATAGAGTCAGAGAATCAGGTAGAGAGAGATTGGGGGATGACATGCGGGAAAGAAGTCAGAGGTTGGATTTGAACCTGGGCCGCCTGCTTAGAAGACTGCAGCCTCCATACCTGGGGCGCGCGCACACTAACCACTGCGCCACCAGCGCCCCACTTAATGTAAACAGCAAATAACGTTGAAACACAGATGAAGAAGTTCCCCGATATTTGCATGGTGGAGACGAGCTAAACATAAAGGCCTGGAGGTAGATGTAGGACACGATGAGGAATAAATAACCTTTGTGTTTGTCTGTTAAAAACAGTTATCAATTTGTTTAAAGACCACATAAGCAGCTACTTAAAAATGATTTTGTGCATATCTCTCCAGACTCCTCCTCTCACTGCAGCATCGGGTCAGCAGGCCGGAAACAAAGCCGCAAGCAGCCCTCGTGTCGCTCCATCGGGACGCAGAGTAAACAGTGTAACAGTGAGTGAATATAACTGAAAGATGATTTAAGTTGCTTTGCCGCTCACACATTACTGACTCTTATGTGTTACCACAGGGAGTGTCAGCGCCTGCAACAGGAAGTGAGAAAAGAGCAGCTACTGTTGCTGGACAACAATGAAGTATGACTTTAAGAATATGTAAAATGTAAGACAAACATCTGCTTCTGTGTGAATCTCATTAGACTTCACTTTAATCATGTAATGTGTTTCCATTTTAATACTCACCACACATAACGCTGCATAGTTTTAAAATGTTTTTATTAAAATGTTTCTTCATTTATATATTATCCATTAACATACATTCAATTGATTAGACTTAAATCTTACATAGAGCTCAATACTACAACAATATTAAAGGCAAACAACATGGTTTCATCATCACAAGGGGTTGGCTCACAAAGCACAGTGTGATTGTTAAACTAGTATGTTACATCATCTGTAAAAACATTTTGGTTGACAGCTCGTATCTCTGGTGTCCATCAACTTGTATATAATATTGCACTTCACATTGGCACAAGACACAGTCACTAATAGGAGAATGTAAACACTTAGAGCCTATCCTGCAGATTGAACTATAACAGGCTAATTTGCTTGAAATGTAACAGATCTTAGAGACTCTTTAGCTGAGCACTGTGTGTGTCTGTAAGCAACACTAAAGAGGTTTCACACTGACTGAACTTTGATTTAAAGGTACACTTTAGTGTTAACTACAATCCCTGAACTAAATGCGTGTCTATCATTAAAACGGATGATAATCCCCAAATTTTCTGTCATTATGAATTTGTTGTAACCTTAAAAAAATATAAATTTCACAAACAATTTCTAAGAGTTCTCTACATGGACTTACTCTCATAATATAAATCTTATTTTCTTGAACAGATATTTTGCATAAGTAGGTATTCTTCTTTCAGAGCAACAATAAGGTGTATCTGGAGATTTTTTTTAAGGCTTTTTGTTAAACAGAACAAAATCTTTGTGTGTGTGTTTTTTTTGCGTTTGTGTTAGTGGAATCCCATACGTAAGGCTTTATTCTTAACCATGGTGAATTTGCTGACAAACACCTTGGAGAAGGCAGGATCCACCAGGTAGTGGTAAGACTTGGTGACAGAAGGCGGGGGGTTGGCGAGTGTCACAGGGGGCTGCAGCTGGAGAGAGACGTAGAGGGGGAAAGAAACTGGGAGGAGCGCATCACGTAATCCACCAGCCGACGATACTGCTGCTCTGACAGACGTTCACGAGCACCATCGCCCTGAGGGAGGACACACAGTTGTTTACAAAAAAAAAAGAAGCCGATCCTACTGAAGTTATTTCTGCTGTGAGCAATGTCCAACCATGTGTCATCAAGAAGCTTTGTTAGTTATCATGCCAACCAAACACTACAGCAGCTGGATTCAACCACATCCTGAGAAAAGGAGACTAGTCTGTGTTACTGCACTTATATTGCACAAGTCTTTTAAATGATATGCCACATTAACACACTCGTGGTGCTACACAAAGTGCCAATCTTCCCATCGGGATTTAACGTATTACATTTAGACACATTCACACCTCAGGAGCTATTTTGGGTTCAGTGTCTTGCCCATGGAAACTTCCACATGCAGAGGGTAGTTAGGAGCCGACCTTCTGATTAGAAGACGATACCCTATTCCACTGAATCACAGCATCCCTGTCTTATGACTGTTTTTCTTTATATTGTCAAAATATAAAAAATGCAAAATAAACAGAGAGCCACAGTAATTAGTGTAGAAATTCCACACTGTCTAATTCCACTTTGATGAGCTTTCACAACCATTGTAATGATTTGTACCAGTGTCTCACCTCTGTATCGCTGACCACTGTCTGCTGCTGTAAGGTGAGGGTGAGCTGGCCCTGCTGTCCTGGGTCCTGCTGACACTCCACCTGCAGAGGAAGCAAGATTTCCACTTGTTCTTTACCGTCTGCTCTGCCACACAGGCTCCACAGAACGGTTCATTTGAATTACAGGACAGAGCAGTTAACGATTGTGAGGTTTTGGTGATAAAGAGCAGTTGTTCTTTAATGCTGACTCCTGACTGTTACCTCTGTGATGGGGAAGGCCTGCTGCTGCGTATCCTCACTGAGGCTCACCACAAACAGCACCTCAGAGGTAAGGAGCAGGCAGCCTCCATGTTGCTGACCTGACCCACTTACAATGGTCACCTCCAAGGCCATGTGGAGCTCCGGGCGTCCAAGAGACTGAAGCATCTTCCTGCAGTCACAAAGCAGAGCCAACAGGGACAGTTACCCTTTAGAACTGAGGATGACAAACACACTACATTGGTAATACTGCAGGACTGAAAAATTCATTCAATTGAATCAAAAGAATAAGCCTTTATTTTATGCTCAACAATCACATGTACAATTCTTCCTGCATCAAAGGATTATGTGTTAACACTGACACACATTACAACCGGCCCTTCTAACTTCTGATATACACACGTTCTTATAAACACAAGACCACACAGAGCGCACTTCTAACCTCAATACACACAAATAAGCGGCCATACGTATCTACATGCATTCTCTAGGTGGTTCCTATTACACACATGTTCAGTAAGGGAATGCGTGTGCAGGGACTAAGGTCTACATTCATGTTTCTCTGACTGTGTTTACTTTGGAAGGCAGGTGTTCACATTGCAGAGCAGATGTTGAAACAGCCTAAGCAGGGACTAATTGGTTCTGTTCAGTGTTACTCTGCTCACACAGTCTGACCCCTCAAGCTACCTGCAGTAGTAAAAATAATTGATGGATGCCTGATGGAAACCAGTTTGACTGCAAAGCAGCAGGAATAGAACCACAGGGGAGCATTATCTCAGTGTTCACATTTTCAAATCTCCTTTTCATCTTCCTCTTAACATACTTCCAACCCTTTCAGAATATAAAACTAAAGAAATCACCTCGTGAAATGATGACTCAGCAATTTTCCTTTACCAATTCAACAGTTGACGCTGACTGCTGAAGGAAGTGAATCTTTGATAGCTATGGTTACCAAACAAATTTTAGAAATGTCATTCTAAAATGCCCAAAATTCTCTCTACTGTATAACTCTCAGTAACCTTCAGGAGACACAGGCCTTTAACAATATATATGCTAATATTTAGAGATTCACTGAGTGAGTGCAGTATTAAAGATATGCTTCTGCTGGTCACAAAATGGACCAGTTTAAACTGATTCTTACTCTAACTCTCACTGTTTCAGCAAACAAAGGAAAGTGGTCCTCCTAGCTCTGATGACATTGGGAAACACCTCTGGATAGACTCATTCAGAGTACTTGTAAAAACTTCTAACATGGATAGAGGAGAGTGAGGGAGGGCAGGCTGGCTACCATGTGTGTAGTCAAGGTCAAACATATTTTTCCAGACTTTTTCCTCTTGATCCCCTCTCCCACCATTTTTGAACAAGTCCACAAAAACGCTGCGTGTTGAAGGGGAGAAATTAGTAAAGCAGATTCTAGAGAGAGTGAGTAAGGGAAGCAAAGGTGAGAATACATGTTCCATCATCTTCTAAAGACTAGCTAGACGACAGTAAGGAGACTGTAGGGGGAGTGGATGGCTCGAAGGGTCTTACCACACATATTTAAGGTGGCTGTTTGGGGCATGAGCAGACTTCTCCTCTGTGGGCAGGAACTGTTGTTTAGGAAGCTGCCACAGTCCTGCGCCATGAAGGATCCCTGAAGAGAAGAAAAAATACAAACACTGTAATTATCAGGAGGAAAGTGTCTTCTTTGTAGTGTGGATTATATATTATGCATTTGTATAGTAAATATTTACATTGATAAGGCAGACAGGTGGCAGTCTTATTCACTTCTACTGCGTCTCATGACAAGCTGTTAAGATATTTCATGAAAAAGACTGTTTCTATTTGTGTGTGAGTGTGCATTTTAACTAATAGTCATGATTAGTATGGCTCTGTGTGTATATGTCAGTTCAGAGTTCATAACCCATGTGTGTTTGGTCAGTTTTCCTTTGTTCTACTCGAGCTGTCAGCAGAGCAGCAGCAGGTGAAGAAATCAAGAAGGTAAAGCAGAGCCATAAAGAAAAGAGTGAGATCCGTTAATGATGTCACTGCAGCATCAACTCAGAGGGCTTGTTTTTGAGTTTGTGTAGTTATCTGAGACGGGATGGACTGTGTTAGAATTCTAACAGATAATTGCGGCTGATCTGAATGCCATTTATGGAGATTTACTTATTCAACAACACACTTTCCTGTCAGTCAGATACGTAACTCTTTTCCTTAATATAATCAAAATGGATAAATTATAATAAAAACAATTAGAACATGAGCTGAACATGTCTATTAATGCTGTCTAAATGGTCATTTTAATACTGGTGTTAATGGGACATCGGGAGCTTTTGCTGCCAGCCTCAAGTGGACACTCAAGGAACTGCAGTTTTTTAAACGTCCACATTGGCTTAATTTTTCAACACTGAAGCATACAGCTTGATTGATATGTATGCTGGTTGGTGTGGCATTCAATGCCCCTGTGTGCAGTCAGGAGCGTCAGTGTGTATGTGTGAGTGTTATTGTTGAGCTGAGCTCAGAGGAACAGGGGGATCAGAGGAAGACCCCAGGGAGCCTTTGATTTTACAAAGTGCTGTTGACCTCTTGATAGTTGGATGTAGACAGGACTTGTTTTAGTGCCAACACAACATCCTCTGAGCCAATCAACAACCCCATTACGCTAAAAAAAAAAGTACAAGTAACTTCAAAGATGATGATTAAAAATATGGATGATTATATTATATATCTTCTGTCACCAGAAACCAAAGTATTTTTCATGGAAAGTTTATTCAGTAAACAAATGCTTAAAAGGAAGTTGTTGCAGGAAAATACTCTTTAACAAACTCATCTAGTTGCTGTTTTCTTGACATACTTTGATGAGCCCTATTTTCCCTAAAGGATTAAGGTTGCAGCCCTGACACGACTGGCAGCCAAAGTGATCAAATGAAGCAATTCCAAAGTATTTTGTAACTATAAGTAGCTATGGCCAAACATTTAGTTTCTGCATCTGTGATGAGTAAGGGCATGGGTCTGTGTTAGTGTTTGTGGCAGGGTTTCTTTCCACAGGTCTCTCCGTTCTCACACCACGAAAGATCTGTCCAAATAAACAACTAGGTTCTGTCTGGGTCCAAGAGTCGAT